TGACCTAGTGCATCTGAAAAACGATTTTTAACATCACCCACGTCAGGCGAATGTACTGCAACGCAGAGCCATTCAGATCGTTGCGCAGCCCGACGATCGGTAAGCCTAAACAATGGTTATTCAGTAAGACTGGAAACTTCCGGAAGAGCAAAGCTACTTAATTTGAAAATAATTTCCTGCATTCTCTCATTTTTTCGAGTTAATCACAAGGTATTTTTAGCTTCTCGACTCGAACGGAAGGTTAAGACATTAAAATGAACAGCAAATGATTTCTGCGTTCAAGAAGGCGATGCTATATTCTTTCTTGGCAGTATTATTTGGAAGTGCTTCTAAACTGCATTGTGCCCAGGTCGTGAAAGGCTTCCAGAAGAAAAAGATGTACATCAAAGCATAACCCTATAATGAAAGCGAGGCGGACCATATGATGTTTATATATCCAATACGCTTCGCTTGTTTAATGATTCGCTTTTGAAACTAAAAGTGATGAATAAAGTACTTTCAGAGGACCATGAAAGCAGCCAACGGGTTTTTTTTTTGGAAAGCAAGCAATTTTGAAAAAACGTAGGATGTTTCTTTGTGCGATAATTCTATATGCATACTACAAAAATCATTTCCACTACCGAAGATAATGCCCGCTGTAGGATTACGGTAGGTTGCTACAGTGGCCTAACGGATTCATCTGAAAAGCGGTCTGGTGAAGCTATTTGACATGCTAAAACGCTTACCTACCTTGCACGATCAACTTTCGTCGTAGAATTAGGCGGGTCTACGATGGAAGCGTCAAAATCATCAATCCTGGTAAAAAAGAAAAATGGAACTTCATGTCTACGCTGCTAGATCTATTTTGGAGAATAAATATGGTTTTACTGATCATCATGCCTGAGTAACCTTATCGGGCACCTTTCATGCAAATCAGTGATACGACTCTACGCGTACATCTACCGTAATCATACAGATATGTCGTACCTAGGGGAGATAGCTATGACTTTCGTAGTCAGCATAGCCTATTGCCTATTAACGTTATTTGAAGTTCTAGCCTCTCACAATCCAGAAAAATTGTTTTGGTCCTTTGAAAATAAATTGAAATCACTTATAAATTCAATCACTTCTAGTCTAACACAAATCATTGAAGAAGCCAAGCATACTGTTTTGCAGAGGGAGATTTCTATTTTCAATTTATATATACTGCCAGTCTTTAGAACACTTTCACTTAAGGCAGAGCTTACCCAATAACCAGATACAACAATACTCCACATATCCTTATGATGAAATCTCCTCATGGTGAATTCGCTTCACGAGTCGTAGGAAAGTGTGTGAATATTTCATGTTTCCTCAGTTACACATGTATTATTTCTTTCAGGCAAATTATACAGTGTGGATTATAGAAAAATGTAAGCAGGTGTATCCACATGAGGTAGACTGAATAGAACATAAGCTCGAACGAAAGCTAAAAGCTTACCATAGCGAGGAATCAAGAATAGCGAGATCATACTACGACACTAACGGATTACGCCAGAAGCTCCGTCAAGAAAATTGACTCCAAACATGTCAATTGCAGGTTTTTATGATCGTCGTTGTTGTTTTTTTATAAGCGAGAACTTGAAACGACATGTTATAGATAACGCAAGTCAGTGCTGACAAATCCAAAATTAGTTTTGCACATGTCATGTCATGTTTTGCCGAACCATTTCTATAAACCGATCCAAAATTCGAATTGATACTAAAAAGGAAACAATCGTACGAAACCATACGATTATTTCTTCATTGTGCAATATTCACAGTATATAGAGAGGTGGCAGAGCAAAAAAGAATGAGAACTAAAGATTCTGTTCTATTATATTCTTCTAAGGAGAATTTTTTCAAAGTACAAGAATGAACGTTTGAAAAGTGATAACTTCTTAAGAATGACAAGAATAGCTCTGCCAGCTGGTGACAAAGTAACACATCTCGCAATCGGTTGATGCTACAATCAGGGCTAAGTGGGGCTTGTAGCCGCACAGATAGGATTGTATTTAAGAAGTAAAGGAGAGAAAGAGAGGAAGGAAGAAAGTACGCTTCACAATACGCTTCTCTTCTTTCCCCGCAGTGCGAAGAAAAAAAGAGCCAATATTTTACATAATTTTGGTTAAAAAGAAAATTAGATGTGTTTGTATAAGAGAAGGTGGAGAAAAAGAAAGGGGATAGTTAGATGGAATCATTTTCAC